ACAGCTTCCAAATATATCACCACTGTTTGCTGTGACGTCACTGAGCTCCATCACAACACTGAGACATGTACAAACAAGGTTTCCCAAATATTAACACATCCACGCCTGACAAATCCAAATATTTATGATACTTGCTTTGTATATGGAAAAAAAATGGAGGAAGTGAGATCTCAAAAACTTGTTGCCATACATAGCATGTTTCTACAATAAACACAGTTCGGCCATCATGTTCAGTATCTGGACGTCTGCCAACATCTACAGAGTCCAACAGTGATCTCACCGCTCCTGACGACCAGAGAGCAAGGTAACTCTGTCTACAATGGTAAGAGTTTATTACGCACCCCCACCTAATTTTTAACTATAAACTATAGACTAAACTGCAGCGTTTGCTCATCACAAAAATAGGCGGGGGGTACGTAGGAACTTTCCTCTACAATTAACAACAATTACAACATCAGTGCAGCATCAGAATATAGGTTTCTCTGGGCCCGACTCTAATATTTACAGACCGTTGCTATAAAGCTGGAATCAGAGCTGCAGATAACTTTTTTGGGTCATTGAGTTATGTACTCGCTTGTGTTCATCTCAATTGAGTATCCTAATTTTCCTTTCAGTAACCAAATAATTTGTACTCACCTCACTCAAACTCAATTGGGTATTTTGCCATTTTCCATTAATTTTAAAAATATAATAAAGTTTAAATGTTACAGTGTTTGCTATTTATATTTGATCTCTTATATGAGAAACGATTAGAAAGACTGCAAGTTGTCAAGTTCATGTCCTGAAATAGAACCTCTCAATATATATGTACCTCAGTTATTTTATCTATCCACTGGTACGCAAGTAAGATTTGACATTTTTGTGTGTACGCATGTAACATCACATTTATTGAGTACTTACAAAAATTCAAGCGTACGGGTACGCAATAGTCTTAATAGGAATTGAGTTTTCACATAAATATTTGCGTAATTTACGCAGATACGCAGCTTATCTGTACTTCTGTGGAATATTGCTGAGTGCAGCATTAAACAACAGACAAACAAACAAACAGAAAGTAGGCTAGATATTCACCATTGAAAAGGCGTCGTGAACGTCACGATCTCACAGCAACTTAGATGCAGTTTCCCACCTTTACCATGTCAAGATGTAACACAAATCTACCCAATGGCTCTGATCACCTTAGATACAGCTTCCCACCTTTACCATGTCAAGATGTAACACAAATCTACCCAATGGCTCTGATCATCTATGTTTGTGACTTGAATCTTTTGGATCTTCCTCCGTGAGAACAGACAAGAAAGATGACACCTCGGAGCAAAACAATCCCACCTATAATGCTGTTTCTACTCTAAGGCTGTTGGAGGAGCCGAGAAGGTTCCAGCATCACATCACGTTGCCATCGGCAACACTGCCTCCAACACCAGGTGTTCCTTGTTTTCACTTCCTTAGTGGAAAGTGTGAAGGCTGCTCAAATCTCACACAACATGTATGTTCTTGAACTTCCTGTTGCCACGATAAAACCAAGGTCATGTGCATTATAAGGATCCAATTGCAGCTGAAATGTTCTCTGTTATTTTCAATTCACCAGTGAAAAGAGCAAAGAATACAGTAATTTGACAACACATTCCTTCCCGTAACACTGTCAGCTAAACATCAAGGCCAAAGCATGAAAAGGATCCAATTGCAGCTGAAATGTTCTCTGTTATTTTCCATTCACCAGTGAAAAGAGTAAAAAAAACTGTACTCTCACACGTTCCTTCCTTCTAATAATCAAGGCCAAAGTATGACAGGACCCCAACATAGCAAAAATGTTCTCCGTTATTTTCCGTTCATCAGTAAAATGGATAGAGAATGCTCCAATTTCACAAAACTTCCTTTAACACAGCCTACAAAACATCAAGTATGAAAAGGACCAAAATGTAGCAAAAAAGTTCTCCGTTATTTTCAGTTCATCAGTGAGTGGAGAATGTTGCAGTCTGACAACAACACGTTCCTACCTACATCACTCTACCTTGTTTCCCAGCTGGGCCGAGTTTAACCCTAACTAACGGAGTCACGACCTATGACATCATCACCTGTAACGAGCTATGACACCTATCAACTATCAGCAGGGACAAATTCTTCACCCCTGACAGCATGGTACAGCAATGTGGATCATGTGACTCGGGTCACCTGTCAAACTGACTGTCAAATGACTGCAGTGCTCACATGAATCAATGGTTTTTGTACATGCTGACTGGCTCCTTGCCATATCGCAGCAGTGGGTCATAGTGGTTTTCACCAGCTAGCAGAGCTACAGATAACTTTTTGGGTCATTGAGTTCTGCACTCGCTTGTGTTCATCTCAATTAAATTGAGTATCCTAATTTTCCTTTGAGTAACCAAATAAATTGTACTCACCTCACTCAAACACAATTGGGTATTTTGCCATTTTCCATTAATTTTGAAAATATAATAAAGTTTAAATGTTAGTGCTTGTTATCTATATTTGATCTCTAATATGAGGAACGATTAGAAACACTGCAAGTTGTCAAGTTCATGTCCTGAAATAGAACCTCTCAGTATACCACAGTTATTTTACCTAACCCCCGGTACTCAAGCTAAGATTTGACATTTTCGTGTGTACGCTTGTAAGATCACATTTATTGAGTATTTACCAAAATTCAAGCGTACTTGTACGCAATAGACTTAATAGGAATTGAGTTTTCACATACATATTTGCGTAATTTACGCATATACGCAGCTTATCTGTACCTATGCGCTAAGTCTCAGAAAATATATATATATGAGTAAAACAGACATTTGCATTGAAAAGGAAATGCATATGTTTGTTGGTATGTTATATTTTCATGATACAAGAACATTTCATGATAGAGTATCTTAATCATAACAGATAACAGGAAAAAGGTTTTCCAAGCAAGTGCCAACATAATCATGATTTGAATTGAAATTTGTTTAAATATTTTTGTGAGTGAGTGACAATATATCCCAAATAATCATCGGTTAAAATATCCTTCAACTGCTTTTGTTAACATTCTATCCTCCAAAAATGAAAAAGTAATACGTAATATAATGCCTTATGTAAAACATGCTGTTATCCTCAGCTTAGAAGCAATCTCTGATCTGAACTGTAATTTGTTTTGTGAAATGTCTGTAATATATGCTGTATGTATACTTGTATGTTGCCTTAAGTACAATAAACATCTTTGAGTGGTTATATCCCAAAACTTCCACATCCCAATACTACCACACATTGAGTGAGTGAGTGAGTGAGTGACCTTCAGCTTCACATGAGAGCAGATCCCAAGTGATGCAAATCTTAGATATCTACTTTGGTGAAACCAAAGAGCACAGATATGGTGCTGACAACCTAAAAACAAAATCGGGTTGAACAAGCATTCAAAACCAAGCTTACTGAGACAAATCTCTGAACAGCATCCTTAATGAAAGGATTGACTAAATGGTTGTCTGTTGCAGGAGCTAGTTTGAATACATATACAGAATCTCATTCGAGCATCGTTTGATATCATGTCTTCAACAAGCAATGACAAAAGTTTTTAGTTTACTTTTGATAACTCCAGGCTTGCCAAGGAGTATTAAACATTGTCCAAAATGATGTTTACAATTGATATCAAAACAGGGTCACATTCTGTTTGTAATCAAATTGCTTCTTCAAATTTTTTCAGGTTGTAAACAGTAGAAAGTAACCTGAGTGGAAAAAACTACGGATAATTAGTTTCAGTGGCAGATGGATGGTGATGTCATTTGATTATGACGTCATGGCAACTTGTGACAATGGACACAATAGCAAGCAATGCATTGTGACGCAATTTTCATCTCACACAATCCACATCTCCACTAGAAGCCACTTTATGGTTTTAAATCCCAAAGGCGCATTTCTAAGGCTACCTTAAGTATAAACAGGCTCTTGTTTTACTGATGATGTAATAGACTAATGAATAGTCTCTGAAAATATACTCATTGAAACGAATTAGGGAATACATGAAAGTACAAGTGTTCCTTTATTTATTTAATTTCACTCACAGTGCAATACACACCTTGTGAAGAAACCTGGAAAACAATAAAGGAACACTTGTACTTTCATGTGTTCCCTTATTTGTTTCCATGAGTATATATCATTTTGATAGAAACAAACAATTCCGTGTAATTTCAAAAGGCGCCCCAGTGAGATGGGAGATTTAGAACCTGAGGAAATCTAGACCTGGGCCTAGATTTTCGAAGCTCTCTTACCGCTAAGATAGTCGTAAGTGCCATACGTTAACATTAACTTACGACTATCTTAGCGCTAAGAGAGCTTCGAAAATATAGGCCCTGCATTATTAAAGGCTTTAGCATTCAGTAAGGGCTGACGAAGGGGCAAGGAACAGCCCAGAAATGTTGTGTATACAATAAAGAAGAAGTTGACATCCATAATATTTTGTCTTATAATAGTAAACAAGGTAACATATGACAGCGGTGAATATCTGGAGGAACTACATCACTGTAGAGTAAAGTAGCACTTTGTCCTGCTATACGTACATTAAAACAAAATAAAAACACATATTCCGGCAAACAATATTGACAGAGTATCCTTCCTGCATGAACAGAACACTGGCTTGTTCCAATCACCATGATCGCCACCAGGGACTGAGCCTTACAAAATAGAGGTGAAACGGTATACGGCAGTATTAGTAGAACTGCGGTATTTTGCCTTCAGTTCGGTATACCTTATGCAATCCAAAAATTTGGTATTTCAGGTTTTCTTACCATCATTTCTATCTAGTCATAAAATGACAGTTTTGTTCATTCAAGATAACGAGGAGTATGGCTATTCTTTATCCATGTTATTGAACAACGTAAGGTTTCGCTCCTGTTGTCAATTTTCTGCATTTCTGCATCTCATGTACCGAACTGAAGGCCTTGTACCACAATATGTACCGCACTGTGGAAAGAACGTACCATTCCACCCCTACTTACAACTAAATAAAAAAATGTCCTTACCCCTATATTATTCACTCTGTGAGAAGTGCTGGAAATTTGAACTGCGGTGACATTGTCATTTCTATCCGTCATTTCAACCACCGAGGACATGGTAAAGCCTCACACAGGCATTGCTGGATACAAAGGTGTCTGTAAGGAAAATAGTATTTTTTATGCGCTCGAGGGAACAAGTACTTAGTAAAGCCTCACACAGGCGTTACAGGATACAAAGGTGTCTGTAAGGAGAATAGTACTTCATAAACCTTCATGTGCTCAATGACAATGGTGTCTGTAAGGGAAATAGTACCTCATAAACTCTAATGCGCTCATTGCTGGATAAAAAAGGTGTCTGTAAGGGAAATAGTACTTGATAAAGTCTCATGCACATATATATACTGTATACAAAGGTGTTTGTAAGGGAAATAGTACCTCATAAACCCTCATGCGCTCATTGCTGGATACAAAGGTGTCTGTAAGGGAAATAGTACTTGACAAAGTCTCTTGCACATATATATATACGGTATATACTGGATACAAAAGTGTCTGTAAGGGAAATAGTACTTGGTAAAGCCTCACACAGGCGTTGCTGGATACAAAGGTGTCTGTAAGGGAAATAGTACTTGGTAGACCCTCAGACAGGCATTGCTGGATACAAAGGTGTCTGTAAGGGAAATAGTACTTGGTAAAGCCTCACACAGGCATTGCTGGATACAAAGGTGTCTGTAAGGGAAATAGTACTTGGTAAAGCCTCACACAGGCATTGCTGGTTACAAAGGTGTCTGTAAGGGAAATAGTACTTAGTAGACCCTCACTGAGCCTCAGAAGTCATGGCTGGATACAAAGGTGTCTGTAAGGGAAATAGTACTTGCTAAAATCTCACACAGGACATTGCTGGATACAAAGGTGTCTGTAAGGGAAATAGTACTTGGTAAAGCCTCACACAGGCATTGCTGGATACAAAGGTGTCTGTGAGGGTAATAGTACCAGGTAAAATCTCACAGTAATCAGTAAGCATGCTAAGGAGGGCAGCATACAGATCTAAATCCGAACAAACATACACAGAATTTGACAGAAACATTATCCTCATGTAACCATATCAAAGTCAGGAGGAAAGACTGCTTAATCAGAAAGAAATATGAACATTGGCGACTTGTCCTGCAATCATACAATACCAGTGTTATTGTCATTTAACAATCTATCACGTGACTTAGCACATGTGCAGGTTACTAGTCCTGTCTGTACCTGTGTCCTCCGATTCAATCGTCCCAGCCCTAACAGACAGACGCTTGTACCACTATGCTACCCATGTCCCTTGAAAATGTTATCTTACAATTTGTAAATGTTATCATGGCTATATCAATGTCCTCAAATGAGAGTTCTTAGTACACAATAAATTAATCAACTGATTATCATTCAGTTTGCCGAGGCAAGATATCCATGTTGACTGTTGACAGGCAGGTCTTATCACTCATTAGAGGTATGGATGTTATTGACAGTAGACCATCAAAACTGGTGTGGTGACACGAAATTTGGTTCAAGTTTAACATCATGACTGACTGACTGAGTTTGGTTTTATGACGCTTTTAGCAATATTCCAGCAATATCACGGCGGGGGACACCAGAAATGGGCTTCACACATTGTACCCATGTGGGGATTCGAACCCGGGTCTTCGGCGTGACGAGCCAACGTTTAACCACTAGGCTACCCCACTGCCCCTTAACATCATGAATATGCGTAAGATTGTTGTAGGTGCGCTTAGCAACTAGCGAGAAACGTTTGGATCCTTAGACATGTTAGAATGAGTGAGTTTAGTTTTACGCCGCACTCAGCAATATTCCAACTATATGGCGGCGGTCTGTAAATAATCGAGTCTAGGCCAGACAATCCAGTGATCAACAGCATGAGCATCGATCTACGCAATTTGGGTTACAATGCCATGTAAACAAAGTCAGCGAGCCTGACCACCGATCCCGTTAGTCGCCTCTCACGACAAGCATGGGTTACTGAAGATCAATTCTAACCCGGATCTTCACGGGTCTTGATGAATGCATGGAATGGACCTCAATCATGACCTCAACTGCAGACAAAACAAATATGATGCAGCATTATATAGCATGGAAAAATACCTCTCGGCCTAGAGTTTTAACATCATATTTTGATCCATTACATAAACGTTAACTGACTCTTAATCAGAGATTGGAAATGAAGCTGGGTACAACACCAGTTTCATTGTGTTACTTTTATAATATCATTTTTTTCCATTAATTGTAAAAATATATTAAGTTTAAATGTTGGTTTACGTGTTTGTTATTTATTTTTGATCTGTAATATGAGAAACGATTCGAAAGACTGCAAGTTGCCATGTTCAGGGACCTGTTTCACAAAGCTATCGTAGCGCTACGACTGTCGTAAATCTATGTTAGAGTATAGGAGGTACGAGAGTCGTAGCGCTACGATAGCTTTGTGAAACGAGTCCTGGTGCTGAAAAAGAACCTCTCAATATACCTCAGTTATTTTATCTATTTTTGTTTGTACGCATGTAAAATAAAATTTATTGAGTATTTACAAAAATGTAAGCGTACTTGAACGCAATAGACTTAATAGGAATTCAGGTTTCACGTAAATATTTGCATAATTTACGCAGATACGCAGCTGATCTGTACCTCTGCTTAATTACCAAACCTTACACTCTCTGAGGAGAAGGTCTATCCACTCTACCACTAAGACATACACCTCCTCTTTCATTCAGGTAAGCTATGAACACTTGATACCTACAAGTCTTTTTGATGAGGAATATGTGGTGGTGGTGGTGGAATTGGGTTTAACGTCGTGCTTGAGAATATTTCGCTCATATGACGACGTGCATGTGTGTGTATGTGTATGTGCGGCTGCTTGTACTAGCCCAGACTTAAGCTGGTTTTATAGTGCTAGCCCACTGAGATACCATGCCGCAGTGAAGCATGAATACCCCACTCAGACACATTATACTGACTCTGAGCCGACCAGTCCTTGTTGTACCCATTAATGCCGAGCGTAAGGCAGGGACCAACAAGTACCATATTTTAACGTCTTTTGGTATGACGCGGTCGGGGATCGAACCCGCGACCTTCCGCACTCCTGGCGGACGCTCTAACCACTACACCACGGAGGCGGTCTGAGGAATATGTAATGTACATAGATAATGATAAAGGCTATATATAAAGTGCCTGTTTCCATGCCCTTGTGCATTCTCAAGGTGCCAAGACATTACTACCCCAGATGACCCAAGTTGCCTGTTAGGTGCTAGAAGGTTAACAGTCATATGACTTATCCCACCGGTATGACTTATATTACCAGTAACACGGTAGTTATATGATATATAACCTTGAACATGATCAGCTTTAAGGAAGGGGTGAAATATAAAAAAATTGTATGTTTGTTTCATATTGAATCATATTTATAATCAGCCATAATAATTACAGTTGCTATGGTTTCATAAACATAATACACATGATAAACAGCAAATAAAACAAGTCATAACCTAACATTTTCTTCATGATTATGATGATACATGAGCATATACTAGTATATGATAAACACATTGATGAAAACGAGATTAATTTAATCATGGTAATATCTGTATGAAACATTTGCCATCCTATAAGTATGACTTGCTCTCGCAAATTACAATCTTAGTGAGAAGCTGATTGAATAACTGACAGCAACATTATGATGATTATGATGATAATGATGACCTGTAAAATGCAATCTGTAACTGAAAGCATGATCATCAACATCTTTCAACATATATTGACTTAAATTGATTAAGAAAATGCGATAAATGATTATTTACCCAAGGGTTTTCATGCTAATTGCATATGAACATAAATATATTCCATGTACACAATTTTAAAAACACACCATCATAACCATATCCATGGTTTAGTCAACATGATCAATTGTTTATCTGTCTATGTCACATTTTTCATCTCAATAAATTTGAGAATTAAACCACAAACACTGAAAAAATGAAAATTATTTACATGAAAGGTTATTTTGACATGATTGATAAACACATATTATATTTGATATTTCATGAAAGTAATATTGCTCAATAATGTAATTAAATAACCAAAACCAAAACAATAATTTATAATAAAACTAAAACATTTTTAGATATGAAAATAAATGGGTTGAAATACGCATCGTCCATATTCCCCCGAAAGCGTACACTTCGCATACACATATATACATCAAAAGAAGACAGAAATCGATCAAACTCCATGGCTGCTATCAGTTCTGTCAAATCGGCAAAATACGGCACAAACAACCCAATCTGGCAAACATTACATCTAACTATCAAAAACTGTGTCCCAGCCTGACAATCCCGTTGAATAAATCTCATATCAACATGTCTGTATCACACATGCCGATACACGATTTCTCAACTGTCTGCGAGCGTTGGCAGTGGTGCCCGTAACAGGCTTTGGTAAAATCGACACAGTCCCGAAACAATAAGAATTTCGTGGATAAAAGTGAGGATATCAAAAGTTGAAAACTCCATGAACTTACCACTACATTTTCTCTTTGTGTTATCACGGTAAAATAGTCAATATTCTGTTAATATAATTCCTTCTATCGTCTTCAAGAGTCGCCATTTTGGCACATTAGCATAATTTTTCCAAGAGATGCTCTTTCCCTCAGAACTGATATTAGTTAAGGTCGCCACCTCACGCGAACCTACCCTCCAGTGTAAATTTGCCATACGCATGTTTATTCAAATGATCTTGTTGTTTAATAATACGACATAACAAACAGATGTTTATAATTGTATCTAGATCAATGTACACACTGATATAATGTATACCGTAGTATAAATGGTGCAGGCGATTAATGCCTTCATCATTCGTGTAAGTTTCCGTGTTTTCATTATTAACAAAACAAATGACAGGCATTATTATACAAATACAATGCATTATACTAATTACATTAAAAATAGATCATAAGTATTATATTATGTTCATCTCATTGTTGCCAGACGCTCAGGAAGTGAACAAGCGTTTGCCCATTCACCCGAGGTTCACTGTAGTTGTAACTAGTTGTTTGTTAAATATTATGCCCGTTGACGCACCTGCCAGTTTCCATACGGGACACAGAATGGAAAATGGTACCAGATGCGGCCCAGCTAGAATGTGCAAATGGCACATTTCCTCGCCCGTAGTTAATGAAATGTCTTCCTACGTATCATCCTTAGCTAAAACGAGTCTAGAACCGTCTGAGTTTCTTTTGAAATGTAAAATTGTGGCAGGGAGCTGATTATCGATTTTTTACCCAGAACAACTCGATTTTGGTTATCCGACGAACTACTTAATAGAAATCGGAACATAAAATGAAGGATCGACTTGTAGGTTGACTGATATCGGAGCAATGTTAAAAACAAAACAACATAAATACGGTGTCTTATCATGTACACACTCGTGTAATGTAAAACAGTATATGCAGTTGGACTGGTTATATACACTAGATTTTTCTATACCCTTTGTTATCATTTAATTAATTGTAATTTTATATGTTAATGGTGTGAATATGCATCGACAAAATATCAATTGACACATTGTATCTAATTGTATCAATGCATTTAGAAATGTTTACCACACTGCGGCAGATGTTAGCAGCGCTGTAACGGAGGCCGTCTCGGTAGAGTGAGTTACTGAATTACAGTTTAACGTCCCGTCGACTTTATACAAGTTACATAGCATTTTTGATTGACTGAGTTTAGTTTTACGCCGCACTCAGCAATATTCCAGCTATATGGCGGCGGTCTATAAATAATCGAGTCTGGACCAGACAATCCAATGATCAACAGCATGAGCATCGATCTACGCAACTGGGAACCGATGACATGTGTCAACCAAGTCAGCGAACCTGGCCACCCGATCCCGTTAGTCGCCTTTTAGGACAAGCATGGGTTACTGAAGATCAATTCTAACCCGGATCTTCATGGGTGTTATATAGCTACGGAAACAGGTTTATACACATACGCAATGGAATCATGAGTATAAATCTAGATTTGAAAGCAAATCTGCTCACAAAACAATAATAATAGTTTTCACAACTACTTTGTAGCGGCGGCCTGAAGGGAGGAGGTTGTATTCCGAATTTAAGTAGTGTGTTGGGTCAGATATGATTTTGACAGCTTGATTCACGATTTGCCGCTCATATATTGATGATAAACATTCAAATTTAACCCCAGCTATTTTACTTGCAGTGTTAACAATTTTGTCTATTTCATATTTGAGATGAACTGAGAGAGACCCGTACCAACAATGGAAGGAAAATGTTAAAATACTCTGAATAAATGCTACATAAAACGAGGACATCACAGATGGGTTAACATTAAAATATCTGAGTTTACGCATGAGATGAAGACGTTGCTGACACTTGTTGTATAGAGTGTCTGTTGATGGAGGAGGAAATCCCGAAGTAAAGCAGGTCTGAGGCCATTGATGAAACCTCAGGAATGGTGCTCAATCCTTCTTTCATTTCGGTTTGTAGGCCATCGGTCCATGTACAACACATAAAAAAATACATTTTCATAGAATAGGTGAAGTGGTGAGGTGAAATTGGGTTTTACGTCGTGCTTGAGAATATTTCGCTCATATGACGACGTGCATGCGTGTGTATGTGTATGTGCGGCTGCTTGTACTAGCCAAGACTTAAGCTGGTTTTATAGTGCTAGCCCACTGAGATACCATGCCACAGTGAAGCATGAATACCCCACTCAGACACATTATACTGACTCCGAGCCGACCAGTCCTTGTTGTACCCATTAATGCCGAGCGCGAGGCAGGGACCAACAAGTACCATATTTTAACGTCTTTTGGTATGACGCAGTCGGGTCATAGAATAGGAGAAACTTTACAAAGAAATTCAATGAGCATGAGCTTCTTTGATGTAATTAGAACAATTTAATTACAAGGGTATATCTACAATTGCTAGTTAATATATTATGATAATTAGCGACTTTATTTAACTGACTATTTACAGGAACATATCTATCTCTAATTACATTGTAAGCATTACACTCAAACCAAAAATTTATAACGTTTTCATTCACCCCTCTTCAAACATTCTACAATACGTATCTACATTCACACCTCTTATTTTACACGTAAAGGGAGATAATTTAATCTAAGAAGGCTAATATTGGTGATGACAAACTTCGAAACTTAATCAGTGAGAAACCTGATGTAACGAAATTAATCTGCGACAGATAAATGTAGCCAAGCTGAGTAAGATATCTCTATATGTTGTCGAACGTATATTCTACCATGACTACGTGAAATACTCGAATTTGATTGGACAATCAATAAAATTAGCCACGATCAAATTGGATTGAAAATGCGTCCGAGTTTATGACCGCTTCACTGCGCACATATACAACTCTGCCGCTTGACCGCCAAAATGGCTGATATATCAACACAACAGACGTGATGGAAATATTGATAAGAAAACATTCATTAAACCTTTGTCCTGAAAATAAATTTATGATTTCCCCCCACATTTATGACAGAACCTGCCTGCCTCATCTTAGCTTCGTTCTATTATACGAACATTCAAACTCACTTACAATGTATCCGCTGAAACATAAACAAACAATATGTAACTTATCAGAAAGCCTTATTAAAACACATCCATTTTTATACAAAACTAACACAAAATGTTAGTAAAATATTTGTCACCCTAGTAAACCGTATGGTAGTTTCCGTATAGAGTTGTTTCCGTGTACACAACATAAGATACCCAGTGAGTTTGCAAAAAAGTTGCTACACGTTCAAATGAGAATATCAGTTCGGTCTAATATTCATCTAATTTTCAAACACGATACCTTTATCTCCTGTTTGAACTTGTGAATACCAGAGTCATGATAATATTTTATATGGATAGATGAGCTTGTTATTAAGTGGAACACATCATCAAGAAATACAGACTCTGTGTTCTTAAATTTCCATCTAGACTCAGTTTCTAACTGCTATTAAATACTTCTTACTTGTGTAGGACATATACTGGATGATGATATTGTTACCATGCAATGGAAGTCACCATTATGTTATTCATGGTGGACAATAACGATCATCAGCCCGAATGATATCCCGACTGAGAAATAGAAGCGCTCGTAAAATATGCCTTTAGTGCTTGTGTGACAAGCAATGTCGACTGAAGGATGCAAATAAAATTTGTATTTTTGTTTGTTTGTTGTTTAACGCTGCATTCAGCAATATCCCAACTATAAGGCGACGGTCTGTAAATAATCCTGTCTGGAAAATATATAAAAAGTGAAAAAATGTTTTCAACTAACTGTGAAGCGATGACCAATGGAGGGTCAGATTCGATGACTTGATTGATGCATGTCATCGTATCTTAAATATATATACCTAGATTGATGCTCGTGAAGTCAATCACTGGATTATCTGACCCAGACTCGATTATTCATAGACCCTATGATATAGCAGGAAACAAATATGAGTGTCAGTGTGTGTGTGCGTGCGTGTGTGCGTGTGACATGGAATATTTTCTGTTTTAGTTCATAGTTTAACAAAACATTTTGCATGATCAATGACACCCAACCACTTGCCTGTGTCCCCCGCTGTGATATTGCTGGAAAATAGCTAAAAGCGGCGAAAAACTAAACTCACTCACCCAACCTTCAAGATCACGTTAGGTTTTTATAATTAACTCCACACTTGCCTTCAGTTTGAATATTTCTCTGATCTCAGGAGAGAGCCATTCAAGCTTATTATATTTGAAGTTTTTATAACGCCTTTGTCAGCTTTCGATTCATTCAAGACTTCAGCCACACAATCAGCTGGGAGCACCTGTCGCTGTAACTGTTGCATTCTGGGAACACTAGTCGCTGTAACTGTTGCTTTCTGGGTATATATTCAAGAAAGCCCATGCAATTCTAGAATATGTGGCAAATTTAGATTTCCACAGCTTCTGAAAATGTAAAAAGTCTCAAGGCTCCTTTTCATTGTATTTTCTTTTATTATGAACTGGGTTTTTTTCTGTAAAATACGTTCATTTCAGAGACTAGTTGTTAGTGTACTGTTACCGCTGCATTCTGGGAACACCAGTCGCTGTAACTGTTGCATTCTGGGAACACCAGTCGCTGTAACTGTTGCATTCTGGGAATACCAGTCGCTGTAACTGTTGCATTCTCGGAACACCAGTCGCTGTAACTGTTGCATTCTGGGAACACCAGTCGCTGTAACTGTTGCATGATGGGAACACCAGTCGCTGTAACTGTTGCATTCTGGGAACACCAGTCGCTGTATCTGTTGCATGATGGGAACACCAGTCGCTGTAACTGTTGCATGATGGGAACACCAGTCGCTGTAACTGTTGCATTCTGGGAACACCAGTCGCTGTAACTGTTGCATGATGGGAACACCAGTCGCTGTATCTGTTGCATTCTGGGAACACCAGTCGCTGTAACTGTTGCATGATGGGAACACCAGTCGCTGTATCTGTTGCATTCAGGTAACTGTTGCACACCAGTCGCTGTAACTGTTGCATGATGGGAATACCAGTCGCTGTATCTGTTGCATTCTGGGAACACCAGTCGCTGTAACTGTTGCATTCTGGGAACACCAGTCGCTGTAACTGTTGCATGATGGGAATACCAGTCGCTGTAACTGTTGCATTCTGGGAACACCAGTCGCTGTAACTGTTGCATTCTGGGAACACCAGTCGCTGTAACTGTTTGCATTCTGGGAATACCAGTCTGCTGTTGATGGGAACACCAGTCGCACCAGTCGCTGTAACTGTTGCATTCTGGGAACACCAGTCGCTGTAACTGTTGCATGATGGGAATCTGTTGCATTCTGGGGAACACCAGTCGCTGTAACTGTTGCACTGGGAACACCAGTCGCTGTAACTGTTGCATTCTGGGAACACCAGTCGCTGTAACTGTTGCATGATGGGAACACCAGTCGCTGTAACTGTTGCATGATGGGAACACCAGTCGCTGTAACTGTTGCATTCTGGGTCCAGTCGCTGTAACTGTTGCATGATGGGAACACCAGTCGCTGTAACTGTTGCATTCTGGGAACACCAGTCGCTGTAACTGTTGCATGATGGGAACACCAGTCGCTGTATCTGTTGCATGATGGGAATACCAGTCGCTGTAACTGTTGCATGATGGGAATACCAGTCACTGTAACTGTTGCATGATGGGAACACCAGTCGCTGTAACTGTTGCATTCTGGGAACACCAGTCGCTGTAACTGTTGCATTCTGGGAATACCAGTCGCTGTAACTGTTGCATTCTGGGAACACCAGTCGCTGTAACTGTTGCATGATGGGAATACCAGTCGCTGTAACTGTTGCATGATGGGAACACCAGTCGCTGTATCTGTTGCATTCTGGGAACACCAGTCGCTGTAACTGTTGCATGATGGGAATACCAGTCGCTGTAACTGTTGCATGATGGGAATACCAGTCGCTGTAACTGTTGCATGATGGGAACACCAGTCGCTGTAACTGTTGCATGATGGGAACACCAGTCGTTGTAACTGTTGTAACTGTTGCATGATGGGAACACCAGTCACTGTAACTGTTGCATGGTGGGAATACCAGTCGCTGTAACTGTTGCATTCTGGGAACACCAGTCGCTGTAACTGTTGCATGATGGGAACACCAGTCGCTGTAACTGTAACTGTTGCATGATGGGAACACCAGTCGCTGTAACTGTTGCATGATGGGAACACCAGTCGCTGTAACTGTTGCATGATGGGAATACCAGTCGCTGTAACTGTTGCATACCAGTCGCTGTAACTGTTGCATGATGGGAACACCAGTCGCTGTAACTGTTGCATTGGGAACACCATGTAACTGTTGGATGGGTACCACGCTGTAACTGTTGCATGAGAACACCAGCTGTAACTGTTACATGATGGGAACACCAGTCGTTGTAACTGTTGCACACTGTAACTGTTGCATGATGGGAACACCAGTCACTGTAACTGTTGCATGGTGGGAATACCAGTCGCTGTAACTGTTGCATGGTGGGAATACTAGTCGCCGTAACTGTTGCATTCTGGGAACACCAGTCGCTGTAACTGTTGCATTCTGGGAACACCAGTCGTTGTAACTGTTGCATGATGGGAACACCAGTCGCTGTAACTGTTGCATTCTGGGAACACCAGTCGCTGTAACTGTTGCATGATGGGAATACCAGTCGCTGTAACTGTTGCATTATGGGAATACCAGTCGCTGTAACTGTTGCATTATGGGAATACCAGTCTTTCTATCGGTTGAGAATATCATACCGGTGATTGTAACTGCCGTATTCTGGGAATACCAGTGACTTTCACAATAGTATGCTGGCATACTGCAAATGTTGCTTCTTGGTCCTCTACTTAAAGGGGTCGGTGGGATAGGGTAGCCTTGTGGTTAAAGGGCCCGCTCGTTACGCCGAAGACCCGGGTTCGATTCCCCACATGGGTACACTGTGTGAAGCCCATGTCTGGTGTCCCCCGCCGTGATATTGCTGGAATATTGCTAAAAGCCGCGTAAAACCATACTTATGCACTCTTTACTTAAAGGACCCGTGAAGATCTGGGCTAGAATGGGTCTTGAGCAACCCATGCTTGTCGTAAGAGGCGACTAACGGGATTGGGTGGTCGTCGTATCCCAATTGTGTAGATCGATGCTCATGCTGTTGATCACTGGATTGTGTGGTCCACTAGATTATTTACAGACCGCCGCCATATAGCTGGAATATTGCTGAGTGTGGCGTTAAACAGCAAACCAACTCTACTTAAAGTCCGCAGTATACTATCCACAACTGTTGTTTTCGGCATAAACAACACAACTGTTTCTAGTAAATCCATGCCGGCTTCAGCCACAAAACACACACTTATATTGGTAATATTTATTTACATAAAATCATTACATTGGTGAAATCAGCGAAAACCTGTGCATGTTTATAATAAAAACTACATAGTTTCCAATAGTTAACAATACGGTCCAAGTATTTAACAAGACAACAATGGAATGTTAACAGGGCATCGCACTGTCATAAAAACGAACAAAACAGATTTTTTATGCAATGAAAATCTTGCGAACAATCAGTTCCCGAAAAAAGTATTCCGGGTTTTACAAACAAGTAAGAGTCAACATACTGATCGATTTAAAAAAAACCCTCATATTCCGTGTGGGTTAAAAATAAATTTTATTCTCCCACCGTTCAACGAATAAATTTGTATTTGGGGTTCATAATCATTTGTTTTATAAAATTTGCAAGATTGTAAATATTCCTTATGAGAGCTGTAAACAACCCTAAAGCAAATACATAAAAACAAATAATCACGTGTTGGTTAAAAATAATTTATATTCTCCCACCGTTCAACTAATAAATTTGTAATTGTTTTTGTATTTTGGGTTCATGATCATTTGTTTTGTTAAATTTGCAACATCGTAAATATTCCCGAGAGCTGTAAACAACCCTAAAGCAAATAGATAAAACAAAACTTCACCGGGTTACCATTCGGCAATGAGCGACATACAGTCTAACATCGTTGAGTCGAAGCTGAAATGACCTACATGTAATTCGAGATATCCGAGATTCGACTCAAACGCCAGATACTGTCGTGAGAGTGAGTGAGTTGAGTTTTACGCCGCTTTTAGCAATATTCCAGCACTATCACGACAGGGGGACACCAGAAATGGGCTTCACACATTGTATCCATGTGGGGAGTCGAACCCGGATCTTCAGCTTGACGAGCGGACGCTTTAACCACTAGGCTATCCCATCGCCCCTATTGTCGTAAGAAGGAATCCGCTGGGATCAATCTTTTACTTCGAGACAACCGACACATAAAGTTCGACTAAACGGTGTTTGACTGTACCTGGGTAAAAGACGTTTTCTGAATATGTAACCATGTTCTGGAGTTTCTGGTCTCAGATCTGGAGTTGACACAGAGTCAGTCTATTATGAGTTATCAAATAGCTGAGCTGTTATAAATGGAAATTCTAGTAATTCAAAATGAATTTTTAACAAATTATTCCAGTATTATATTCCATTAAGCTCACATGTTTAATTAGTTTGTTTTGTTATATCTCACTCAGCAACTTGTTAACTTCGAAAGGTTGTGTATTATACCTTTAAACTGAGCTATCGTGTCATCACCTGGCCGCGATATTGTATTACATCTAAGCAGACCATAAAGACGGAATTTGTGCGTTGAATGTCGGATAATGCCCTAAGTTATCCTTGATTGACACTGGTTAACTCAGGTTGAATCTTGTCAACCCTGGTTTGCCAGACATGTGGTAACCTGGATCGATTCAGGTAACTCAAATTTAAATAATGGAACGGAAGCACTATTTCGTTGTTGCCGCTCGAGGTTTCATGTTGGTAGCATTCGTAACTACTCGTCCCTTTCCGTAACCTGAAAATAGACTCGTACCCCTCTCGTAGCCATGTCCGGGAGAAATATCCCCAGCCAATCAGAATGCGCGTATGTAGAGAAGAAATTGGGTTAAAATAGGTCTTTTAAATATTTTTCATTTCGGCTTGCATAATTTTTTCCCAAACACTTCAAGTATATTCTAATTATTGCATAGTCCTCCTGGGTTTCCTGAATTTTTATAACCATGATATATTAACATTATGGCGTAGGAAAGTATTTAAGCATGTTAAACATACCCTTTGTGGCGTGGATGGCATGTGTGTTTTCCAAGTAAACTAGAGTTACATGCCCTTGCAAAATAGTTCGGCGACTAGACTTATTCTTTCTCTCTGCGCTTTTGCGCTCAGACAGAGCCACGTTCAATAAAAAATAGCTACGAGAGGGGTACGAGTCTACTTTTAGGTTACGGAAAGGGACGAGTAGTTACGAATCATGTTGGTAGCTGAATCAGCCGAGTGAACCCGAGTGAATCCGAGTGTCATCGTGAAAGCAAATAGAGCTATTGAAGCGTCATAAAATCTTAACCACGTGTAACCCCGCTTTTCACAAAAACATCAATGCTTAAGTGAGTGAGTTAAAATTTAACGTCACATCGGCAATATTGCAGCCATATCGTGAGCTTAAGTAGTGAGCCGTGTGTATAAACACTCATGTCCAATAAACAAAAATAACATTTATAATCCATTTGACATAATCTGATTTCAAATAATAACAATATTCAATACAATAATCAATATAAAATTGAGACAGGCAGCATATAAAACACCCTGTTGGAAAAAAATAGAATCGTAGTTTAAAATAATTCAACATTCAATATTCAATTCAAATTCATATTCAACGCTGAAGAACAGATTATCTGAAACATGAAAGAACAGAATTTCACAAAGAATTTAACTTAAGTTGATTTAAAGTTCTAGTACGAATAATCATGCTGGTTATTTCACTAGTAAACCAGTTTAACAAGATTACATAGGACTTCTCCCATTAACAGAGCAATTTGGGAATTAGGTTGCAACAGAACTATAAATATAAACCGGACTTTATGTTATATAGTTTGCTTGATTTACGGATTAACAGGCATATAAATCTAAACAAAATAAATCACAATATTTTTATAAGCGTCGCTTCAACAATAAAAATAATCCATAATATATATTGCGACTAAAACATATTTTTTCCAAGGAAAACTTATAATATTTTTCTTCACCCCTAGATTATTCACTACCAAGAAAAAATAGTCTTGCCCAATTATATCGTAAACATAGACGTGGTTGACAAAGGCATATATATGTATTTAGATAAAATCAAATCTACATAATAGGTATACTACAATACCATCCTCTTGTATCCAGGGTTTTGCATTGTCATTCTTGTGAAAATACGGACTATTCTGCTAGTATAATTTCTCTGTTATCTTGAATCAAATGGTATGGTGAAGATGTTGTCCAATCAAATCACACGCATGAGCGAGATACTTCCATTGCCAAATGATTGATAAGCGATAAGAAAATGTTGACGTCACTTCCGGAAAATTAGGTGGACTTGTTCCAGGCTGTTTATGATAATATCATTCATACAACCCTGGACACGTTATACGTTATGCTTTCTCTACAATTAATCCCTGCAGAGGAATGTCTAAATTTCTAACTGAAATACACAGGGCTTCTTCTCCCTTGTAAATCTGGGAACGCTGGCTGCCGTCGCAGAAGCCTCAGATGACGTTCTAGTTGTTTTCGGCTGCCATTGCAGTCTCCGCCCGTCCCTGCAACAAACCGTGAGTGAGTGAGTTGGTTTTAAAGCTGTTTTGATTGTTTGTTGTTAAACGCCGCAATATTCCAACAACATGACGAAGGTCTGTAAATAATCGACAGTGGTCTCGAAAATCCAGGGATCGGTGTATGCAAGTTGGGATAGGATGATACGTGCCAGCGTGCTTGGGCACCAGATCCATCATGAGCATTTGTCAAAAGGGTTGCAAGGTGAGGTGAGGTGAGGTGAGGTGAGGTGAAATGGGGTTTAACGTCGCACTTAAGAATATTTCGCTCATATGACGACGTGAATGCGTGTATATGTGTGGCTGCTTGGACTAGCCCAGACTTAAGCTGGACTTACAGTGCTAGCTCACTGAGATACCATGCCACAGTTAAGCATGAATACCCCACTCAGACACATTATACTGACTCCGAGTCGACCAGTCCTTGTTGTACCCATTAATGTCGAGCGCCAGGCAGGGACCAACAAGTACCATATTTTAACGTCTTTTGGTATGGCTCGGCCGGGGATCAAAACCCGCGACCTTCCACTCTCGGGTTGCAAGACTCTCAGATCCCGTTAGTCCCCTCTTATGACAAGCATGGGTTGCTAAAGGCTAAATCTAAGCCGGATCTTTACGTGTTCGCATCTTACAAGCATCTGCTGCTGAAGACTAATTCTCGTTCGAATCATTACCACTCCTTCGCCCTTCCTCATGAAGTTCCGGATAAAGTTGGTCTTCAGCAGCCAATGCTTGTTGTAAGTGGCGGCTAACGGGGTCTGAGATCAGGCTTGCAACATTGTTGACGAATGCTTATGATGTCAATCACTGGATTGACTAGACTCGATTATTTACAGAAGAAGAAAGCAGAAATTGTCTTACAGTGTCATATGCCGTTTTACAAACACACACTAAACACACTATCATGTCAAATCGGCATCCCGTCATCAGGCCTACGACTAGTGTTTGGGAATTGGTTAAAATCTCATAATTGATGATTGGTTCATTACAACCGATCAATCATCGAAAATTTGTTAGCGTTATTTATCAAATATTCCTGGTTATGTTTGTTAATGCACAAAGAATAAAGACAAACGTATTTCTTTCTGGGTATTTTTTTCAAATCGCCCAAAATGCACTTGCAAATTTCACATCTTTAAAGGATAACTGGTATGTTAGGAACATAAATTTCCTGGAGTCGTTAAGATAAATTCAATCATGACTTGGAACGAGCTTGTAGTGCTTATGAAATGTAACAGACAAAACCAACCTTGTGATAAATATTGTTAATGCAAATAAGTGTTCCAAAATTGTTTGTGTTCGATTATGAGAAAACATGATCGACTGCTTGGTCGTTTAGTCACTGCGACCAATCTTCGATTATTTCAATTAATCGGACCACCACTACCTTCGACACACTAGGCTTCATTAAAACAATTGTTTGGTAAAAATAACGTACAATTTTAAAACATTCAGGAACAGTTGTCAATCACAGGCATCCACATGAACCAAGCATTTCACATTTACGCACAAGTAAATTCACACCAAAGTGATCTGTCATCACAAATGTCACGCATCCTGCGCATAGATGGCCTTCACACAGCTGGAGCAGACTCGACTATTTACAGGCAACCGCCATATAACTGGTATATTGCTGATTGCGGCGTTAAACAACAAACAAACAACAACATGAGTCATAACGTGGAGTCAGAGGGGAGATAACTCTTCTTGAACGAGTATTTTACTACTCGAGTAATCCTCCTACCCGCCTCGTACTCGGGTACCCGGGTACCCGTCTCAGCCCTAATAACAACAACCTGAAAGTGAGATGGGTCTCCCGTGGCATTCTGGGGTAAACAACAAACAAACAACAACATGAGTCATAACGTGGAGTCAGAGGGGAGATAACTCTTCTTGAACGAGTACCGGGTATTTTACTACTCGAGTAATCCTACCTACCCGCCTCGTACTCGGGTACCCGGGTACCCGTCTCAGCCCTAATAACGACAACCTGAAAGTGAGATGGGTCCCCCGTGGCATTCCGGGGTAAAATTGGCTCTAACTTATTTTGTCACACTTATGATTGTGTTGTTTTTGTTTGTTGTTTAATTCAGCAATATTGCGGCGGTCTGTGAATAGTCGAGTCTGACCCAGACAACCCAGATCAACTACATGAGCATCGATCTACGCAGTTGGGGATCGATGACATGTGTCAACCAATTATTATGTACTTTTATTATAACAGTGGGTTACTCGCAGACCACAATGACACTAATCCCGGGTGGAATTCTACCACGGATTATCCGAATAAGGCTAAGCTCCGTCTATGACCTAAGTTTCTTAACCTGAATTGATATTTACACTTCAGGAGCAGGGACGCTTTAAATGGCCAACGTGTGAGACGGTACTTAATCACCATATCGGGTCATATGTAGATTTCAGACACCAAATACGACAAATAGAGAGTCTGATCCGAGAGTTTTTTTCAGATCAAATATACTGAAAGGCAAAAGAAACGTTGTAAAATTGGAAATGACATTTAAGCATTTTAAAAAAAAAGTATACACCTCGCCAGGACCGTCATATCATCCATCAACACCTCTCGTTAACCTAGCCATAGCTGCTGTGTTCAGAACACAAGTGAACGATTGTCATTCAAGCGGGCAATTTATGCCCGAATACATGCATGACGTACGTGCATCTCGATTTCAATGTTGTGTTTGTGCGAACCCTCCCTATCCACAAACACAAATATTTCAAACCTCAATCTAAAACAATACTTTCTTGGGCAATACAGGCTATACGGCCACGATTCATGTATTCCTCAAACTTGACTTCCGGTGCATATTTTTAAAAATGGAAAGGTTCAAATACTCCATTGATACTTAAATGTCATTTCCAATATTACAACGTTTCTTTTGGCTTTCAGTATACTTCAGCATGGGTCAGCGGAAGTCTAATTTCAAAGGCTTGCGGAGAATCTTTTCAATCATTATAGAGACGTGTTGATATATTTGACATCTTTTGATTGTTTGTTTGTTGTTTTCGCCACACTCAGCAATATTCCAGCTATATGGCGGTAGTCTGTAAATAATCGAGTCTTGACCAGACAATCCATTTTGACATATAAGGACAGGGCGTAATTATATTTTTCATCCAAAATAATTGCTTCTTTTCATCAGTTTGAAATCAGTTAACACCGGTGTCTTGTGTGTGAAAAGTACAGCTAATCTGTCTCATATGCAGATGCAGTGATGTCATTTGATTCTAACGTCATGTACCGATGACGTCATAATGAATTGCAAAGCACTGTGATGCAAGTGGATTGTTGCATGTCTTCAGCGATTGCTCACTAGTAGATATGACTTGATTTCACTCAAACGGTGGTCAGGTTCGCTGGTTTGGTTGACACATTTAATCGGTTCCCAATTGCGCAGATCGATGCTCGTACTGTTGATCACTGGGTTGTCTGGTCCAGGCTCGATTATTTACAGACCGCCGCCATATAGCTGTAAAATTGCTGAGTGCTGCGTAAAACTAAACTCACTCAAGTGGAGGCGATGGCGATTACTATAGTGTCAAGCGGCCTTCACACGGCAAACTAAAGTTTGAAAGCACATGTTGTTAAAATTTTAAAAGTTGTCAAACTCGCGCTTTCACACGTCAAACACATGTTGTCAAACTTTCGTGTCATTTGAGCGCAACGTCACATCGCGTGGCAGTTTCTTTGACTGAGATTTGTTGTTTCTGAACAACAAGAGCTTGACAACACTTCACACGTCACACTCGAGTTTGACAACACCGAAAGTTTGATGAAAAAGTTGGTGAAAATAGAGACCGATCCTATTTCTCGACAACAGTTTGACAACTCTGAAATTGGTGTTGGTGGCGAGTTGTTGGAATGTTCACACACTCAAACTCGACAGGTGTTGTCAAACTTTGTTTGCCGTGTGAAGGCCGCTTAACATATTATACGGTATAACCAAATGCAACGCTACAAGGTATTTTGTTCGCATGTTGCTTTACGCCGCACTCCGCTTTTGTTTTGAATTTTGTTTAACACGCTTTCAAGAGACTTTTTGAGTAATATGAACATGTGATGAACTATGGGAGGACAGCTCACTCATTAATGAGCGAGTGTGAGTGTGAGTGAGTTAATGAATTCAAACAGCCTCTACGTTTGAACACTGATATGCCAAATCTATTTACGGAATCAAACAAGTTAAAATTTACATATGATAAGAATTATTCAAACATGACCACAACTCTGGGGAGCAACAATTCTAAAAGCACCCCGCTTAAACACTCGGAGTATAATGTCTGGGCCTTTATTCTCGAAACGTTCGTAGCCCTAAGAATTCTTAACTTTGATCGTAGCCAATGTGTTAAGAAAGTGCTTAAGAAGTTCGTAAGGCTACGAACGTTTCGAGAATAGCTAGCCTGAACCGTGAAATTTCATTCGGGATGGATTTTTATGGAGCTGTTTTATCAGCGACATCGGTACATTTGCTTTACAACATACGCAGCCATATACTTACAAAAGGCGTCCTCTTGCCGAATTTAGACCAGAAGGTGACCTTGGATGTTGTGCAGTGCCCGGTCTTCTGGTCGAAACAGTTGCATTCATCGAATGGAGGGGAATAAAGATGGAGACTGATGGCCCGATCGGAGTGACTCGGGTTTTCTACCCGATGAAGGCCGAGTTCATCTGAAAGCAAACCAATACATAGAGTATGTGAGTGGTTGTTGATATACGCATTACAAGCAGTTAAATATTTTTTATTCGACAGATGGCACATGATGAGTGGAACTGACACCCGTGAAAGTCCGGGTTAGAATTGGTCTTCAACAACCAATGCTTGTCGTACCCGTGAAGATCCGGGTTAGAACTGGTCTTCAGTAACCCATGCTTGTCGTAAGAGGCGACTAACGGGATCGGTTGGTCAGGCTCGCTGGCTTGGTTGACACATGTCATCGTATCGCATTTGCGTAGATTGATGCTCATGCTGTTGATCACTGGATTGTCTGGTCCAAATGTTTTTGCTGAGAGTGGCGTTAAGCAACGAACAAGGAAACAAATTCTTTCTGGGACTTGATTTCAGGACGATATATATACTATGAAACAGGCCTAATAGTCTTGGGCGCTATGTTAAGCCCCATTCCACCTCACCCTACCTCGTTCAACACTGGGGCTGTAGGGTAGCCTAGTGGTTAAAGCGTTCGCTCGTCACGCCGAAGGCCTGGGTTTGATTCCCCAATTGGGCACAATGTGTGAAGCCTATTTCTGGTGTCCCCCGCAGTGATATTGATGGAATATTGCTAAAAGTGGCGTAAAACTAAACTCACTCACCCACCTCGTTCAACACTCAGTTCCCCCAATCTCGCCTCCTTAGATACTCACCTCACCACACCGCGGTCAACACTCACCTCACCACACCGCGGTCAACACTCACCTTACCCAACATCGTTAACACGTATCTCACCCCACCGCGGTCAACACTCACCTCCCCCGACCTCGTTCAACACTCACCTCCCCCGACCTCGTTCTACACTCACCTCACCCGACCTCGTTCAATACTTACCTCACCCATCCTCGTTCAACACTTACCTCACCCGACCTCGTTCAACACTCACCTCACACGACCTCGTTCAACACTCTCCTCACCCCACCGCGTTCAACACCCACCTCACCCGACCTCGTTCAACACTCACCTCACCCCACCTCGTTCAACACTCACCTCACCCCATCTCGGTCAACACCCACCTCCCCCGACCTCGTTCAACACTTACCTCAACCGACCTCGTTCAACACTCACCTCACCCCACCGCGTTCAACACTCACCTCACCCGACCTCGTTCAACACTCACCTCACCCCACCTCGTTCAACACTCACCTCACCTCACCCCACCTCGTTCAACACCTCACCCCACCTCGTTCAACACTCACCTCCCGACCTCGTTCAACACTCACCTCACCCAACCTCGTTCAACACTCACCTCACCCGACCTCGTTCAACACTCACCTCACCCGACCTCGTTCAACGCTCACCTCACCCCACCGCGGTCAACACTCACCTCACACGACCTCGTTCAACACTCACCTCACCCCACCGCGGTCAACACCCACCGTTCCACACTCACCTCACCCGACCTCGTTCAACACTCACCTCACCCGACCTCGTTCAACACTCACCTCACCCGACCTCGTTCAACACTCACCTCACCCGACCTCGTTCAACACTCACCTCACCCCACCTCGTTCAACACCCACCTCCCCGACCTCGTTCAACACTCACCTCCCCCGACCTCGTTCAACACTCACCTCCCCGACCTCGTTCAACACTCACCTCACCCGACCTCGTTCAACACTCACCTCCCCCACCTCGTTCAACACTCACCTCCCCCACCTCGTTCAACACTCACCTCAACCTCGTTCACCTCACTCTCCCCGACCTCGTTCAACACTCACCTCACCCGACCTCGTTCAACACTCACCTCCCCCACCTAGTTCAACACTCACCTCCCCGACCTCGTTCAACACTCACCCCCCCACCTCGTTCACCTCACCTTCCCCGACCTCGTTCAACACTCACCTCACACGACCTCGTTCAACACTCACCTCACCCGACCTCGTTCAACACTCACCTCACCCGACCTCGTTCAACACTCACCTCTCCCGACCTCGTTCAACACTCACCTCACCCGACCTCGTTCAACACTCACCTCCCCTGACCTCGTTCAACACTCACCTCACCCCACCTCATTCAACACTCACCTCACCTCACCTCACCTCACCTCACCTCACCTCACACCACCTCACCTCACCTCACCTCATCTCACCCCGCCTCGTCCAACACTCACCACTGATGTAAGCAGTCTGGCCTTTGTTATAGGCGTTAATGCCTACAGGGGACATTTCCGTTTCCTCCTCAGAACCGCTGGGCCAGTCGTAGAACTCCTCTTGGAGCGTGCCGTCCAGGACTGTCATGAAACAGTGGGAATTGGCATGTGAATGGATACTACTTCCCTGTGACTCATTCCAACACAGCATGATCAGGTTGTACTTCCCGTTTCCGATGTCCACCAAGTTTCTTGTGTATCTGTTGAAGATAAAGGAAATATTTCTATTTATTAAGCTTTTATTTGTTTGTTGGCTATATCCGCACTCACCAGATATAGATATATTTGACGGGCATCATAAATAATCGAATTTGGACCAGACTATCCAGTGATACTGTGCCAGATTTTGTGTTTTGCTTGTTACACCACATTTGGAATGAATTCAGTTTAACTTGTTGATTATCAATCTCTTAATATTTAATGATTCTTTAAAGATTTTTTAACTGTTCAAAATGCAGTGGGTTACAAAATGGACAAAGGGGCCATGCTTGATATTTTTGGTGTCGGCTCAGGAAGTCGACCTTTGGATTTTTTGTAAGGCTCAGGACAAATTATCCTCTTCAAACAACACGAAGGCCCATCATTGTCTCTATAATCCACTGTTAATTGCTAAAATGTCGAAACGCCCAGGACGTCGACCTTTTTTCTTCACTCATCCGTGATGATTTGACCAAAGGTCGACGTCCTGAGCCCTAACCGATATTTTTATAAATATATTTGTATTTACAACGAAACATCGTCAAAGACTAACCACTCTCGATTATCGAAAAAGAGGAAGAAATATTCACTGAACATAAAAGGCTGTGGACATTATATGAGCGATTACGTAAAATGAGTGATAACCGCAAAAGGCTATACTTCACCAAATCACATCCATAGTTTAAAAACCTTCAGGATAGACGGAATCCCCTGATGGCTGTGATTGCGTAATTGTATGTAAGTGTTGTGTGTCTTTTAACTGTACCTCCATCCAGTAATTAAAACAGATCAAGTAACCGCCTGGTGTAGTGGTTAGAGCGTCCTACCGGAGAGCGGAAGGTCGCGGGTTCGATCCCTGACCGCGTCATACCAAAAGACGTTAAAATATGGTACTTATTGGTCCCTGCCTGGCGCTCGGCATTAATGGGTACAACAAGGACTGGTCGGCTCGGAGTCAGTATATTGTGTCGGAGTGGGGTATTCATGCTTCACTGCGGCATGGTATCTCAGTGGGCTAGCACTATAAAACCAGCTTCAGTCTGAGTGCACATACACATACACACGCATACGTCGTCATATGAGCGACTGCACGACGACCTAAAACAGGTTTTTCAATATTTAGTGCTGTCTTTTTCACTGATGACGTATACTGAGTGTGACCACAGGTGTTTTCAAGCGGTTGTCATTTCGTGCGGGACTAAGGTTGGTCTGTTTAGCTTCCGGTGCTCTGAAAAAGAGCCGGCTGAGATGGTCATTTGTTTGATATTTAAAGCCAGACTATGCCAGACTATGCCTACATGTACATGTAAAAAAATAATACAACATTACCATTGAAGTCAACTGGAACACATTTGGGTTTGTGTAAAAAGAATAAGAATGCCCTTCCGTTAGCACCGAACGCACAATTATGAAGTTAGAAAGTAAGTGTTTGTTGCCTGACGTCACGAACCCGTGAAGATCCGGGTTAGAATTGATCTTCAGTAACCCATGCTTGTCGTAAGATGCGACTAACGGGATCAGGTGGTCAGGCTCGCTGACTGGGTTGACACATGCCATTGTATCCCAATTGCGTAGATCGATGCTCTTGATATTGAATTGATCACTGGATTGTCTGGTCCAGTCTCGATTATTTACAGACCGCCGCCATATAGCGCGGCGTTAAACAACAAACAAACCTGACGTCACACAGCAGTACTCCTAACATCCGACGGAGGAATACAAGGGAGACAATCAACTGAAGGCCCAGTGTCCGGCGACACATTGAATGGAATCCAGGCCGGAGTTCAACAAGGATGACATGTTGAATGATGTCACGGGACGTCTGTCCCCAGACATAAACCAGTCAGTACATAGCAATTTGTTATTTTGCACTTATCGACTACATACAGTCACGGGGCCTTTTGAAAATATGTAAACAATCTACAATATCTCGAACTTGGGTAACATCACTGTAATGTACACGTAGCTCTGCACGGCCTGATGTGATTAATCCGTTACCACATTACTGGTTCCCAGTAACTGTTGTCATCGTTGTTTTCAGCAAGGTGGGCGCGGTGGGCGAGCTTTGAGTGCAGACTCTTTCAGTGTCACAACCCCTAGTTTTGTACACAACCCCGTGCACTTAAAGAACCCACGAATCCGTTGGTATATGACCAAATGGTAGCATGAATACGTGCAAACACCTAGTTGCGGGTACAGCAACATGCAGTAAACGTGGACAAAGTACAGTGACTATGTGTTCCAGTCCACCCAGCTGTGAATGGGTACCTCGTAAGGATGGGAAAGCCGCAATAACTCGGTGCGCCATGTGGCAGCAAGACTTGTATGATCCCCAGGGAGTTGAGATTGATAATAAGATGTGCCTTTGAGATTGACATCCAAGGATCGAGGAAACAAATACCAGCGCCATGATCATGCACTAGTGCGTGGATATGTGCGCTATATAAATATCAATAATGATAAAAAATAATGACAATAAAAAATGAAATAAACACTATCAATAGTTATTTTTGCCGTAAAGCAAGTTCACACTTCTGTATAACAAAAGTTAAAACACATGCATGAAATGTTCTGCTGAATTCCAAGAGAGTTTCGGAAATTGACCCCTTGAAGTGAGCGAGCTTAGCTTTACGGCGTTTTTCGCAATAATGCAGCAATACCACGGCGGGGGACACCAGAAATGGGCTTAACACATTGTACCCATATGGGGAATCTAACCCAGGCCTTCGGCGTGACGAGCGACCGCTTTAACCACTAGGCTACCTAACCACCCCCTATTGATGTGATAAATATCATTGGCTGAGTAAGGCTCTACGCCGCTTTTAGCAATATTCCAGCAACACCACGGCGGGGGACACCAGAAATGGGCTTCACACATTGTACCCATGTGGGGAATCGAACCAAGGTGTTCTACGTGAAGAACAAACGCTTTAACTTCTGGGCTACCCCACTACCCCTCTGAATCTCCACGGGGTATTTCAACCATGTACATATCTCATGTGTCAAACTAGGTTATTACCACTGGTGCATGTATACTTCATAACATAACAATCGACCCTCCACCTTCCTATACAATCACGGATGCTCTTCAGTAAACACAACTTTGACATGAAGTGACTTCTTAGTGTGACGTTCAAGTTTGTTGTCAAATACCATTACTAAATAAAGCGGTTAAGGGTACGTTACTTTCTAAATCACAGGTGCCAAAACCTTCACAAACTAATCCAGATAACGCCCCTTGTACGTAACAAATATCGAACAGGAGGCCGCTGTGACCGACAAAAGGTGTGAGCAATTTCTCCATTTTGATTGGCCAGCGGCTCTCGAGCGATTGGTCAGAATGTAAGTGAAGGTCATAGCATTGAAAGGTGGGTTGTGCGTGTATGTTTGTCTGTCCGCTTCTGCTGATGCTGCTTTATACCTCTACTACGTTTCCATGTCGCGTACGACCAAATGTATGTGTGCGTGTATGCATTTTGCAATATATCACATGATTATGCGTGTTTGTAAAATATCTGTGTAGTATGTGTGTAAGATATCTGTTGAGTGCTACGTTTATTTGTAGCCTTAAGCGCTCATTTTTGTGTGGACTATACCCTGCGCGTGTGTATTTGTAAATAATCCTTTGCGGATTTGTACACTCTTCTCTGCGCGAGTGTACTTTGCAAACTATCCCGTTCGTGTGTCTGTCATCCTTTCATATGTAGATTTGAACACTATCCTCTGTTTGTGTGTACTTTGCAAATTATGCTTTTCGTGTGTGTACTTTGCAACTTATCCTTTTCGTGTGTTGATGTGTACACTATCCTCTGCGTGTGTGTACTTTGCAAACTATCCCGTTCGTGTGTCTGTCATCCTTTCATATGTAGATTTGAACACTATCCTCTGTTTGTGTGTACTTTGCAAATTATGCTTTTCGTGTGTGTACTTTGCAACTTATCCTTTTCGTGTGTTGATGTGTACACTATCCTCTGCGTGTATGTACTTTGCAAACTATCCCGTTCGTGTGTCTGTCATCCTTTCATATGTAGATTTGAACACTATCCTCTGTTTGTGTGTACTTTGCAAATTATGCTTTTCGTGTGTGTACTTTGCAAGCTTATCCTTTTCGTGTGTTGATGTGTACACTATCCTCTGCGTGTGTGTACTTTGCAAACTATCCCGTTCGTGTGTCTGTCATCCTTTCATATGTAGATTTGAACACTATCCTCTGTTTGTGTGTACTTTACAAATTATGCTTTTCGTGTGTGTACTTTGCAACTTATCCTTTTCGTGTGTTGATGTGTACACTATCCTCTGCGTGTGTGTACTTTACAAACTATCCCGTTCGTGTGTCTGTCATCCTTTCATATGTAGATTTGAACACTATCCTCTGTTTGTGTGTACTTTGCAAATTATGCTTTTCGAGTGTGTACTTTGCAACTTATCCTTTTCGTGTGTTGATGTGTACACTATCCTCTGCGTGTGTGTACTTTACAAACTATCCCGTTCGTGTGTCTGTCATCCTTTCATATGTAGATTTGAACACTATCCTCTGTTTGTGTGTACTTTACAAATTATGCTTTTCGAGTGTGTACTTTGCAACTTATCCTTTTCGTGTGTTGATGTGTACACTATCCTCTGCGTGTGTGTACTTTACAAACTATCCCGTTCGTGTGTCTGTCATCCTTTCATATGTAGATTTGAACACTATCCTCTGTTTGTGTGTACTTTGCAAATTATGCTTTTCGTGTGTGTACTTTGCAACTTATCCTTTTCGTGTGTTGATGTGTACACTATCCTCTGCGTGTGTGTACTTTACAAACTATCCCGTTCGTGTGTCTGTCATCCTTTCATATGTAGATTTGAACACTATCCTCTGTTTGTGTGTACTTTGGCAAAATTATGCTTTTCGAGTGTGTACTTTGCAACTTATCCTTTTCGTGTGTTGATGTGTACACTATCCTCTGCGTGTGTGTACTTTACAAACTATCCCGTTCGTGTGTCTGTCATCCTTTCATAT